GAAAACTCTGGTATAAATGCTAGGTCATTTTTAGCACTATCGTGTTCCAAAATAGTTTTGAAGTATTTGTAGGCGAGAACATTCTTTGAACTGCCAAAGCATGTGATACACTCACTCTTAACAAGTTTGCATAGCTAAAAGTACTGTACCAAATATAGACACAACCAACAAAGTGAGAGATTCCCAGCTAACAAAGTAAAAGATATCTAATTTAACAAGTGCAGAGAGATGTTTCAAGCTCGCGTGACTAACAAATCCAAGCAAAATGCTGTCACTTGCATTTTACACTGCAGAATGTATTGAATCTAGAAGAAAAACAATCAGCGAAATTGTTTTTGGAGTGCCACTTTCATCGGCTCAGCAGCTAATCATCTCATCAACAAAGCCGTAAACTTGATGAACTGCCGCGCTGAACACTTATTAGAGCTCACTCCGTTCTAATCCAATTATCCATGGAATCGACTTTCTGTAATCTTGTCAGCAAAATAAAATTAAAGTTTTTTGAGTTAAAAACACTATTAGATCACCAGCAGTTGAAGTTGGGTTATTCTGGAACTATATTGCTTTGCAAAAGAATCACAAAGAGACGAGGAATACAACCGAGATTGTATTTTTGCATTTGTATTTTTAACGCTGATTGCAAATTTTGCCTTGATTGAGATACAAAAATATATTTTCAGCTGTTACACACTGCGTTCCAAGAAATGCAACAATGGCGAAACATCTCCTGTATCTTTACCTTCTGTAAAGCTTTAGGTAGAGCATACTGTAGAGTTGGCTTCAACTTACAAGGGAAGGATACTTGGTGACAGCGGCCATTCGTAATATTTGTATATCGAAAAATGCGCTTTTAATGCTGGCTTTCGGATACTCTTCCATATCTGCGAAACGATAACCTGGATGGAGTTATTATTTTTTTCATGAATAGATTCCGCTACTGCGGAGAGTCAAATCATCTCTAAAAAAAATTTCTTTCCTTTTCAAAATGCTGATTATGATTTAGATAGGTACAATGCAATAGTATATACTCGCGTCATTTGTAGCTCAATATGTGAGAATGCACACTATGCGCGATTAACCACGGCACCCTTACTACTAAATTTCGGGTGTAGGGCGTTAGGCGACAAACCCAATTTTTTGTACCCCAAAGAACTCCCCGTGCAAAACGTCTCCTCCGCCAAAAACAGGGGGGTGGGGCTCGGGGCCGATACATTACCCGACGCCAATGAAAAAATGGTGCATAGTTTTGAGTTAGGGGGTTTACGTTGCTTGCGTTTTGCACGTTTTGTCGCCTAACGCTTGCCCTCCCTAAATTTCCAGTAAAACATTTTCTAGCCTATTAACTGGATATGTTCTACTAACTAACATATTTCCGACAAAAACAAAAGGTACAAGGAAATCAGGAGAAATCACTGCAAATGAGCAGGTTTTAATTTTGCAGCTCGTCAGTTAGCACACATGGTGTGCAATATGCATATTAAGTTACGAATGACTCGACGATACCTTTTAAGATTCTCTTCGGTAGCTTCAAACGGCAACCTAGAACAAATCTGGTGATTTTGATTGCTCAAAAGTGCGCCAATTTTCTACGAAAAGAAGTTCGTAACCCTTTGGAAGATCGTTTCGCACAGATATAGAATCAGCTTTTCTAGGTGCATCTTACAATATACACCGCATTTTAAATGGCCACGGCCATCGAGTATCCTTCCCTTCTAAGTTTTGCGGTAAATTATGAATAACCCTTTCGCTCATCATAGGAGGTAAGATTTTCGAGACTTTTCGAGCCAATGAGAGCTGAAACTTGCAAAAAAAAAGTTCCAAAGCGCTGAAAACTTGGTTATCTGACTATCGTTCCATATACATTTTTCGATCAAGGCAGGGGTGAATCATTTTGTAGATCTCTTGAGCAGATAAACAGAAGACTCATCTTGACTTATGCTAACAAGATAAGAGCTAACAGATGTAAATTAAAAGCGAACATCTAGTCAACTGGGGCTTGGGCAGAACTATATGATGGATGTCAATGTACAACGCTGGGTATTATTGGAATAGTAAATGTTAGCATATATGATGACGTAAATTAGTGTTATTGTACTTTGTCCAAATAGAATTTTAACTTTTCAAAACATATACTAGAAAGTGAATGCTGGGCTCGTGAACTTCGACTGAACGACTGAAATAACAACAAACAAAAATTTTGGGCAATTTCAAATTGGAAATGGTGCTAATGTCGTTAGTTGTGATGAATATGACTCATGCTCTATTTTTCATTGAATATAATGTCCCCTCCAAACTTCCTCGTTCTTCTGGGATTGGTATATTTTTTCGCTAGTATACCTCTTAAGAGTTCAATTGTTACGATACAATGTTTGCTTTAGACGCGGTCCATTAGCGACTGCTCCAGTGATTCACGAATGTATGCAGAACAATTTATTATCGAAAAAATGCTTTTGCCCTGAGTCATCAAGCAATAAAACAACGGGTAGAGATATGAGAAGTCGGTTAGTCAATGGTCATTATTTCAGAAACTGTACTATCCCAATTCCGCTAGAATATGGTTGGAAATTGCGATTCCAGTAGCTTACGTAGAAGCCACATTTCCTGTGGCGAATGCCTTCTTGGTTTTATTTTGATTGAAGGCTCCTTGTCATTTTAGTTGCGGTTTTTTAACTTTGTAGAGTTTTCATAAACAAATGAAATGACAAGATTTGACCATGATTCAGCCAATAACTGATCCTTGTTGCGCACAACCTGCCACTTTCCCGTCAGATTTCCGACTCCGAATTTCCAAAACTCAGCGGTTTCGCTCCCAAAAAAGACGTCCAACCAGCGCCAGATCGTATTCAGCATCGAAATAAGCAGCGTTCATATAGCTTACAAGAGAGCAGTAGAAATGCTGTTCGATGAGGCGATGTCTGAAGAGGACAATAGATACTAATTTACCTCCTCACAATTCTGACAAAATTGGATCATGTTTTGTTAAGAAAAGTTTTTAGGCCTGTACTTCAGGCCCTTTCTGCAGGACGAATTTGTTTAGACGATACAGTTGAGCTACAGTATAATCCACCGTTTTGTTCTTGTCCACCAATTTTCAGTGTGGAACGGCTTGCTCGCACCATGAAAAGTTCTGTTCAGGGGCAATCACAACAACTGGTCCTTAAAACAATCCAATCTTTTTTGTCTCTATTGACGAACAAACGTGCAAGGACCATTCTTCGTAACTGGCAAAAATTTATGCAAAAGTCTTTTTCATAGGTGAAAATGAGGGGGTGCCGAAAACGCATCTATCTTCGAAAGCTGTATCAAAATTAGTGAAATCCTATTGAAGAGCATGATCATCTCTTTTCAGCTAGCTACGCTTTTTCTCAGATCAACCGATTCTCAAAGAAATGAGGACGAATGAAATTTCCCGAACTTTTGAAACTACCCTAAACAAACTTCCATAATTTACATTTGTATAAATTAAGTCAAATGCCTGTTTGTCGGTATGTGTGTATGTGTGTACGTATGTCCTAAATAAAAACCATTGAACCGTTCCGACCAAACTTTGCACACATACACTTCGGGACTGGACGGGTGTTGTCGGCTACTTTTTGTCATTGATAGTTATCGATTTTTTGCAGAGTTCGGGGGGGGGAGGGAGTGAGCATGCTAATTACAAAATTGACAGGGCCGGCGGTTCCTGGTTAGTCATCTATGGTGTAATAAGTTACCTTAGTTATTCGAGGTGCATATAGGGAAGTGATCATGCTGCAGGTCATTTCCTGTCCCCATGACACTATATAAAAAATTCTAGTAAGCACTCTCGGAAAACTGACTTGAATTTTGGACATCTCCGTTATGAAAAGAGCGCTCCAGTCATGTTCCAGTGATGTCAATATTCTTTTTGATCCCTTTTGTTCCTTTGAGGGTTTCTTACAAAATTTCATACGCACTTAATGTACTAAGTTGTCAAGAAAATAATGTCGATTTTTATTTTCTTGCTACGGCAGTGCAACCAAGAACGCATATGGGGCAATTCTATAGAGCAAAGTAAGCTCTACAGACTGGTATTGATGCTTTCGCGCCAAGTTTGTTTCACGTGAATTAAAGATTAAAATTCAAAAAGTTTTAAATGCACGAAAAATCGAAGAAAATTGCCGTTCCACCAAAAAAATTTCTAAGAGAGTCACTTGCATACATCTATTCTATCTATATCAGACACTCATAAATTGCAGTATTTTCCTTGACTGAAAACTGAAAAATCGAGAATTTTCGTGTTTTTTCTCAAAGCAGTGCTGGGCCGTTTGTGACAAGTAATTCTATACTACAGGCTTTTGTAGATATAACTGTAACTGTAAACTTTCAGCCTTTTTAGCTCTAGCTTCCGAAAAATATCAAATTTCCTTTCCTTTTCTGGGTTATTCTGCTGAAATCGAAACTAAAAATTTGCACATACAAAAGCTTGTGGTATAGAATTTTTCAATAACGGCCCAGCACTCCTTTGAGGACATGAAAATTTTCGATTTCTCAGTCTCTAGTCAAGGAAAAAATACAGAAAGTATATACAAATATCTGATATTGATAGAAGAGATGTAGAGAGAGTTTATAAAGTTTTTCGACGGAAACAAATTTTTCCGGCATTTGAGGACTTTTAAAACTTGATTTTTAACTCCACGTGGAACACTCTTGGAGCATCAATACCAGTTATCAGAGCTTGCTTTGCTCTATCGAACAGTACCCTACATGCGTTCTTGGGTTTCGCTTGATCGAGGTGCCATAGCAAGCAACTAAAGAGCATTATTTTCTAGATAATCTAATATTATCCGTTTGTTAATACAAAATATTGCTTTTACGAGTTGGTAAGACATACCAACTAAAACAGAACTCCTGCGAGATTCAGTACATGCCTGGTGCTGTTTGTTCTGTATATTTGATTAACAACTCTACAATAAATCCTTTCGTGCATTCCAATAGTTCGCTCAAAAGTGCACGTGCATCTGACACTTTCATGCAAATTAGCTCCCGATATGTGAAATCAACACGGTTCAAATGAAGTATTAGAGCAGTTGAGATGAAAAATTGCTCAAACTTTGATCTACAAAAACCATTCTACTGAAGAACAACTGATGGATGACAACAGCATAAAGATTGTAGTGAAGATGCGCTCTGATCAGCTGAGTGACGATAAATATAAATCACATGAGAAGCCCATGCAAAATAAGAAAGAAGCTAACGATCCACCCGAGTTTGACTAAGTAAATTAAAATTCTGTTTCTTGAAGACTGCGCCATAATTTCGAAGATGTTGAAGATGTGTAAAAAAGCTCAGTAATAACACCTTATACGTATCCTGACATCATAATAAAAAATTATAAAAGTATGATACATATACAATAGATCTCTGTTATTTTAGTATGAACGGACGAGGCTTTAGAGACAGACAATATACTGTATGATGTGATGCAGAAAGGATTCAAGGGAAACGATACAGGATGTGAAGGACGTAGGAGCGTTGGAATGGAAGGACAGAACGGGGAGCGCTGCACCAACAGCATCACTCAAAATGTACGAGTCGATATGTAACAGAGCAATGCAAACAACCGAGTCATATGAACAAAAGTTAACTCAGCACTCTGCACAGTGTAACCGGGCGCTGGAAAGAAGGGGGAGCGGGACGACGTCGTTCAACAACGTCTTCACACTGTATAGAATGCTCGTCAAAGATCGTAGATCACAAGGAGAGACACTGATCATCTAGACTGTGGCAGATCACCGGTGAAAAGAGGGACCCTGACCGCGGGGAGACGCGAAACTCGCCCGGGGCGCTGCACGGGGAACTGACGCGTCTAAAGCTCACTGTACGGCTTTCGCGGCTTCTTCTTGCATTCGTTTGTGATGCAGCTCGGCTTCTTGCCAAATCAACTCCTTCAGCTTCTCTTTTGGCAGATCATCGAGCTCCATCTCGTAAGTGAATGGCTCCTCACAAACCGGCTGCAAAATCATTTTTGAGCTGCTAAAATTCAAACGAACGATAAAAAGAACGATAATATTACATTTTTTCTCTAAAACAACACTCCACCACAGATGCTTGCAATCACACGGGCATGCAATATCACGTTATTAACACAACCATGCTGTTAACGGATGAAAGCCGCTTACCTCATCATTCGGATCATAATATTGCTCCAGATAAGGATGAGCCAGCGCTTGCTCGATGTTGATCCTGAAATTAGTTTTATGTAGTGTAAAACGTGACAGCCACACATCATGTAAATTTATTGCTATATGTGGCGTATTTTCGTCGTTCGCGGATAAGCAAAAAAAATCGCCCACACTATTTAAGAAAAAAATTATTGAAAAGCAAACGAAGGTATTCAAAGGGCAAGCGTCAATTCAGAATGTGATCTTTCGCAAAAAAAACATACTGCATGATAGACGGATACTGCATAATTTTTTAAACACTGTCCTAATGCAATCTCAAGAAGAAACTCATAGCAAAGACGTCGGTACTCATTGCGATACCATTCTCCATAGTTGCGACATGTTGCTAATGGGCTTACGAAGTAATACACACAAATGTGAATCCATATAAAAATCTCTCATTAAAATCCAATTTCAAATTTCTAGAGTAGCGCTTGCAATTTCACATCTAGGATGAGATTCATCAACTTGCAATCAAATGATTTATGGCTTTGTTTGCTATCAAGAACCAACAATTCCCTTGCCAATCTACTCTTCACATGACAAACACCTGAGCCTCACAATTACAACATCCAAGTAGCGACGTATAGAGCAGATGTTCAAAAACTACTCAATCAACAAATCTTTTTGCGTGTGCGAGAACACCTCTCAGGGAAATGAAAGATGCAAAGACCTTGAGAGACTTATCTACAATGCACAGACCAAATTTCAATGTGACAAGAACAAACTTGAACAAAGACCATTACTTGAAATTCTCAGAAATTGCAAGATAACACAGCTGCTTAAAAGCACAAAAATTATTCCAATAAGTAAAAAAAAACTCTTAAAGCGAGCAAAGCAACGTCGAAGTATCGCTGCAGGTTATGCAGTAAGGATACCAGCCCTGGGTAGTTAGTGGACATAATTAGACTTTTAATAGCTCAGAAATTTCATTCTAGTTGACAGGGTACGGACAACCGATACACTAGTTTAACTCAATCACGTAACATCACAAAATTTGTTTGAAAAAATCGGCTTGGGATAAAAAAATAGTAACTAACCTGTTGTGCGGGTTAAATGTCAACATCTTCTCAAGGAGGTCCAATGCACGCGGATCCGCTCCAGGATAAAGACGTGACCAAGGTTGTTTTGGCTTATGTGGCAAGGATATCAGATACGACCGTGCCTAAAAAAAGAACTTCGGTCGCAGTATGTTACAGAACTAGCTTGCTAGACTCCTACGACAAATCCACTGAATCTTACCTTGTCGTTGATTATACACTGCAAGTCCTCTTGTGATGGGGATCCTACCACAGCGAGGATGAGGTTCAACTGATCGAGGTAGTGTTTGCCGGGGAAGAGCGGACGATTGCTCAACATTTCGGCAAGAATGCAGCCCACCTAAGTTAGATATGTTTATGAAGAATCGAACAAGACAATCATGAAAAAGAGGAAATGTGAGGGAACAAAGGAGATGATAACGAGAAGTTATTACTTACCGACCACACGTCGATGGATTTTGTGTAACCTTTTGAGTTCAGCATGATCTCTGGAGCTCGATACCACCTAAAAAGGATAGACACATAAGCGGAAGCCTGAATATCTTGAAAATGAGAGAAATATTTTGAAGCAGATACAATGACTAGATGTTTCATACTAAAATTCAAGTGAATAAAGAAGACTGCAAAACTAACCTTGTGGCTACATACTCGGTTAGAAAACCGGTGTGATCTGTCTGCGGATCTGTGACTCGTGCTAAACCAAAGTCGCAGATCTGAAAAGACCGGAAATAACGTTCAGTATGTAAAAATGAAGCCAAAAAATTTGGAAAAAAACCTGCTAGGTAAGAAAGTACCTTGAGATCACATGTAGTGTTGAGCAATAAATTTGAAGGTTTCAAATCACGATGCAAAACATTGGCTGAGTGGATATATTTGAGACCGCGAAGAATCTGAAAAGAAGCAATTACTACGAAAAAGCAAGACTTAACGTCATCAGTACAATATAGTTTGCAAACCTGATATAAGAAGTAGCAGACGTGATCGTTGGAGAGTTTCTGTGTTTTAAGCAATTTGTACAGATCAGTCTCCATCAAGCATTGCACGATATAACTGGAATACAGAAATGATGCACTCAAAAGGTGCATAATAAGTTCATTCAATTGAAGAGATTTTATTTTTATATGTTGCTTGGAATGATACTTTAACCAGAAACAGAAAAATGCTTTCACAGTTTCGGAGCTATCCTCATGTGAAAACTTTTTAGGCGTTTTTCTTTATCAAAAAATGTCGAGCAGTATCCTAGTACTCCTAATATGAACGGCATTCGCTACCTTGTTAAGAGCATGTGGCAACACATGCATTCGAAGTAGCTCGAGGACATGAGAAATTGAGCATATTTCTTTATAATCCAAATTGCCCTCAATCTTCACAAGCATTACGCTTCGTTTCGAGGCTAATTCTATGCAAATTATTTGCAATAAGCATATGTATGGATAATTATCGGCTCAACGCAATAACGCAAAAAGACAAGATAGCCTGCTTCGTTTATGGGAAAAACTCGGCAAAAGCGCAAATATTAGAACTTAAAAAAAGGAGAATAAATAAAACAGTGTACTCACATATCTTTCATTTGCTCTACTGATTCTGAACGGATGATCTCTTGGATGTTAATGATCTGAAAATAGAATGAGGATGACAAGAGATACATGAAGAATAGGGTGATACTTACATTTTCATGTTTGAACCGTGTTAAAATCTTGATTTCACGCAGTGTTCGTTGACAAAATGTCTGGTGCTCGAAGGGAGATATTTTCTTGATCGCTACTCTTTCACGAGTGACTGTATCCAAAGCGGAGCTAAACACACATAATGAGCAGGCTAAAAAAGGCGTTCATGGAAGTAATTATTAATAGCATCTTCAACAGAAGGAAACCTTTTTTATGAAAAAAACGCAATAAACTTAGAAACAACGCGATTAAGCACAGGAAAAAGCGCAACAAGAAAGGCTTGAGAAGACAGAAAAGACTATTAGTATATTGCACACGCTGTATTCACTGAAGAGCAAGATTTTAGCCATCTATTTTGATCATAGATGACACCTTGGACGAGCGGACTTAACTCACAAGATAAGAGAAATTCTTGAAATCATCATTCTCGAAGTGCGAAAAATGTTAGAAGCTGTGGACTTTTTAAGCTGCATGTTAACGATGGGCGAAAGTCAATCCACACTTCTCTGTTATTATCACAGAAAAATAATCTAGATGAAAAGTTTTCGTCCCTTTTATACAAACGGTTATCAAGTTATTGTACTGTAACAATGATAAGCAGAAAGACAAGTACAACAGCGACGAGAAAAAAAGAAAAAGATGCGGAGAAAAACTTACGCGACCATTCCATATGCTCCTTCGCCAATGTAGGAAAGGTTCACATAGCGAGGTCCCACTTCGAACAACTGACCATGTACCTCTTCAACGTTATTTCGTGTCGATACTGATTCTTCCTCTGTCATCTGAAAAACTTCGGTAATATAAAACTCGATAAAGCAGAGCAAGCGCGATAAGTACGAGAGCGTAGAATGCATAAAGTCGAGATGGAATGAGAACGGGGGTGTTATTTCATTGATAACAAAGACATAGTGATAAAACAAAAGTGAGACGATCAAGAGAATCGACTGCCAGATGTGGTCGTTTGAAACATCCAATGTCTCGCGATCAATACGAATACGAATCGCTTCTGATAGATGCAGCTATTTTGCCACGGATTAAATCTTTCGATACGCATAAAGCATTGACAATTGTGATTGAATGTGAAAAAATACGTTCCACAGCTTTGTGCTCACTACGGTATCATCATGGAAAATTTGCTAATCTCTAGACGTTACCATATAATTCGTACTTTGATGACTAGATACCAACATTTAACGATTCAATGCTGGATCCTTGCTAAGCTGCAAAAACAATCCGCCAATAAAGTCCCAGAAAAATAGATTCAAAAGGTTAAATGTCATACAACGGAAAGATATAAAAACCAGATCTCTCAAAGTTTCAGCGCAAAGTAGTGGTGTACTTCAAGACTATTACTTGTATTGACTAAGGAATCCGAAAATGCCATACGCTTTCTATGCTGCCTGCAGCTGACAAGGGTAGAAGTGATAAACTGCTAGAATTAGGGTACGACACAAGGCAATCAAGAAAGAACGTTGATAAAAGGAGGTGTGACAAGAAACAATGGTACGAATCAATGCATAACGACAGCAAGAAAAAGAAAAAAGAGTGGTGACTCACGCGTTTGATGTGTCGTAAAAAGCACGCTTGGACAGTCAAGACATAGGTACGTATTATCTTCCACTATGTTGAGACAAACCGATTTTCCAAAAAGTGAATAAAGTGTTTAAAACGCTATAAGCATGTTCACAATGCGTTTTCATCTTATTCAGATTCTCAAGTACTAACCTTCACAAAAAAAAACTTCACTCCATAACGAAGGGGCGGTCAATAAAAAGAGAACAGCTTTTCGATTTGCAGAAGTCAGCATAAGTGCCTGCGGAGAATTGCTGACTTCTAGAAAAAAACACAGAGGAAATTGCAAAATGAAATGATGCCTCTCTTTTCGAGCTCATATTCAAACAACAAAGTGACTGGGAAGGAAGACGCTCCGAAAAAGCCGATGCAAACCGATATCCATGTGGAATCAAACCTCAGAGAGCAAACCAAGAGACGGACAGATTGAATAGCGCTGATCATGAGCAAAGTGCAAAAGTTTGACGTCAAACCCACAAATTCACGGGATTGAAAAGAACGGATCTAGGCAAATATAGGAAAAGCAAATAAAGATTCCAAAAGACACTTGAGATATATGCCTGTACCCTTCATTCGCTGACCTGGATAAAGCGCCAATGAATTACTTGCTTTTATGAAAGGAAAAAAATATGAATTACACTAATACTTATATAGTACAGGTACGTACGTAAGCTCAGTTGAAATCACAAAATTAACGCCAAATCGATAAACCTGTCACGACACTGCCGACAGCCGGCGACTGCGCACGCCACAGCATCTCGACTGGCGCACCGGCTGCTGGCGGAGCGCCAACTAGCAGAGACATCCGTTTCCGCTGCTCACGATCTAAGCAAGTATGGAAGCATATGTTGGTCCAACTTATGACTTTTGATAAGTCTGTTTCAAACAGGAGCGAGCGAAACATCTCATGTGGACCAGCGCGTGCACGTCGCTAGAAGCTTTGCGAGCGAACAGCACTGGCATTTTGCCAAGCAAAGACTGAGGAAAATGGAGGGACGCAGACAACATGGGTTCTCAACATGGTATGGTACGGTAGCTGCGGAATGGCGGGAACAATTGCGAGGCAGATGCCCGTCAATCAAATTTTCGCCTAAACTAGGCTGGAACTTACTACCTACTATTTTTCCATCTTTATCGCTAAAAATAACACTTGTTTGTTTCCTTTCGCGATTAAAGGCTATTCCCGTATGAAAATGGCTGCCCAAGTAAGCGCGGCAACGCGGGCGTGCGAGCTCTAGTGACGAAAGATGCTCGAACATGGTTCGCAACGGCTCCGCAAATCGAAATGCTCGTCAGGGATCCACAAGCTCTTTTGCATCACCCTACCGTAGATTGCTGTAAAGTTATATAGATTCATGGCACGCAAAGATAGGGCGTCATTGCGGACACTGTCGGTGACTCGCAGAGTGATACTTTCATCCCTCCTATGGTCTCCTGTCTCTCCATACACGAACGCCTAGCCAGACGCAACGGCGTCCAGTCTGTGCGTGTCATGGTCGGCAGGGCTTGGGTCCTCGCAAACTATAGGTCATTTATAAAATCGTGACGACGGATTTGACTGCGGACTTTGCGCCCACACGAGCATAAAACGCTCACAAAAAGACATCTCCTCAAAGTTTAGCTCAGGCACTTTCAGTGTCTAAATAATGTCATATGTAAACAGAAATACCATTCGTGTTGAAATGAAAACCTAAAAACGCGGTTTCCAGGAGGAGTTGCGTGCGTGTCGCGCGCGGTAGCGCCATCGTCACGATTTTTCGAATGCCCTATACCTCGCTTGGGCCACTCGCCGCGTTCGCGAGCGTGTCCGGCAATTTCCAAGCTTGTGGGCCATTGATGCCGATACGTATTTTGCACGCCTCAAGCGTGAAAAAATACCTTATCTTCTGAGAGCGAACGCGACGAGAGATCCAAGCGAGCCGTGCCGATCGCGGCACTAGACTAGGATTCTCTGTACCACATTTTGTCCTCGGGAAAAACTCTCATGCGTAATAGCGCAGAGACGAGGTGCGCACTTGCGCTGCCTATGACGTGTTCTTTGCATAGCATTCAGTGTTGGTGACGTCAGCATGTAGTAAAATTTCGATTACAAGGGCAAGTGACGATGATGCGGGCAAATATGCACTAAGACTAAGGCTGTGCTCATAGTCGCCGTTCAAGTGCTGGCCAGCGATCACAGGTGCGATAGTGTGAGACTTTTCTCACCCCCTCTTCACCCCTGAGCCGGGACCAAGGTGACCCCCTTCACCAAAAGCCGAGAAAAAAAATCAACAGTGAGGTAAGGTTAACCAAAGGAGCTATTTGTACGTGAATTGTTCATGTATAGGAAAACAGGAGTCTGTTGAAAAAAGTGCTTGGTGACGGGTGAGAGTAGTGATTTCTGGAGATTTTCGAGTTTTTGACATGAAAAAAATCATAACTTTTGTAGATGAATATCTTTCACGGCGAGGTGGTCACCATTAGAACCGCCTTGTTCTCCGCTCTCAGAAAACATACAGCATGTTTGAGATTCGTCCAAAAAAGGCCTGGTAAAAGATGTGCCTAGCGATTTCTGGGAATTTTCGAGTTTTCAGGATAAAAAAATCCGTGACTATTGCAGATGAACAGCTGGTGCAAGGAAATAGTAACCATCGGAACCGCCTCGTCCTCCGCTTTCAAAAACTATAAAGCATGTCTGAGATACATTCAAAAAAGTGCCTGGATGAAGGGTGTGCTTGGTGATTTTTGAAGATACTCGATTTTTTATCATAAAAAAATTCATGACTTCTTTAGATGAACATCTTATACGCCGAGATAGTCACCATTGGAACCATCTCGTCCTCCGCTTTCAGAAAATATATACTTTGCTCAGGGTCCGTCAAAAGTGCCGGGTGAAGGGTGGGTGAGACTTTTATAATGGGAGTACTCAAGTACGGCCTTTTTTACCATTGTAAAAAGGCGTCTACTTGAGCACTCCCATTATAAAATTCTCACCCACCCTTCATCCGGCACTTTTTCTAATGGATCTCGGGCAAAGTATATATTTTCTGAAAGCAGAGGACGAGGCGGTTCCAGCGGTGACCATGACGGCGTACAAGATGTTCATCTAAAAAAGTTATGAATTTTTCTATGATAAAAACTCGAAATCTCCAGAAATCACTAGGACACCCTTCACCCAGGCACTTTTTTGAAAGGATCTTAAACATGCTATGTATTTTTTGAAAGCGGAAGACGAGGCGGTTTTAATGGTGACCATATCGCCGTGAAAGATCTTCCCATAAAAAAGTTATGAATTTTTCTATGATAAAAACTCGAAATCTCCAGAAATCACTAGGACACCCTTCACCCAGGCACTTTTTTGAAAGGATCTTAAACATGCTATGTATTTTTTGAAAGCGGAAGACGAGGCGGTTTTAATGGTGACCATATCGCCGTGAAAGATCTTCCCATAAAAAAGTTATGAATTTTTCTATGTTAAAGACTCGAAAATCTCCAGAAATCACTAGGACACCTTTTTGACGGGCACACCAGGCAATGTATATATTTTATGGAAGCAGAAAACGAGGCGGTTTCAATGATAGGCGGCGTACGGCGTAAATTATGTTCATCTTCAGAAGTTACGGATTTTTCTATCCTAAAAACTCGAAATTATTCAGAAATCACCACTCACGCTCTCCACCAGGCACTTTTCAACAGACTCCAGGCAAACTATATATTCTCTAAAAGCGGAAGACAAGGTGGTTTCAAAAATATTCACCTTGCTGACGTTGCTGTTCATCTACAGAAATTACGAATTTCTTTGAAAAAAATTCGTAAAGGCTCAAAAATCTAACTCTTCCCGAAACAAATGTTCGCATGCACATCAACTATGGTAATTCCAAAAACAGGCAGGGCGATGTAAAAAAGGGAAAAGGAAATGTAAAAAAATACAAGGTGCTGGTCAGAAATATAATTATATGCTAATCCAGCTATCACTTCACATTTGAGAAAAAGGACAAACAGTGATGGTAAGGAATTGAAAATTATGAACTTTGACAGGGAAAAATGATGGCTCCCCCCCCCGTCGACATTTTGTGATTTCTTTACCATAAAACACCCTTTACCCTGGAGGGGTTGCGACCATTGTAACCCCCTTCACCCTGGAAGAGTCATTCTCACCTTATCGCACCTGTGCCAGCGATAGCGCAGCGGCAAATTATTCGCGACACGCGAATCAGATGAATTACACCACTTGCGG